CACCGGTTCACCTGCATGGTTGACTTAGCATGTTAGGTTTGGGGGATAGGCCACCATACTTAACCTCTAAGTCTGATCCGAATTCTGTGAAGCCCAGTGTATGAACAGGAGATTATTATTTAAAATAATGGTGATAGTAGTATTTTTTGCAATGTCACGTACGTGTAATAAAAATATAATTAAAAAAATATAAATTTATATTTAAAATTATGTCTGTGATACAAGTAAAGAAATAATGACAATCCAAACACTCTTTTTGACAAACCAAATACTGTACAATTTGGTTGTCTTTTGCCATTTGGGGCGGGGGATTCAGCCATACTATTACTACCACCATAGATGTCTGTATCCGATGTAGAAGCAATACAAACAAGTTTAACTAATGCTTCCACATGGACAGCCGATGGAGTCTACTTTGCAATTAGCATGTTCCCAGGAGCGGCCAAAAACCAGAAAAAAGCCGACTAGTATTTATTCGTTGTCTTTTTTGGGATCTTTAACCCAGGGACGAACAGGAAGTCTAGTGATTAAGGAAGGTTATATGCTTTCACGCGCGGTTGAGTTGAGGAGCGGCCTTACCGGATGCTTAAGAAAAATCCGATAAGAGTAGCATCACTCTGTCCTTGCTCTTAGTTGTTTTGAATTTTACAAAATCTAATTAAAAAAAGTATTTGTAGAGTATAATCAGAAGAAGTAAAAACTACTCTTTAAGCGATCATATATTTTAATTTTTTATTATTAAAAAAAATATATAATCAGAATACAAAATCAATCAAAAATACCATAAAAACAGAGCCCTTTTTGGCAAGTGAGTTGTTCGGGTGTTTGTCTAAAATTTTACTGTAAAAATTTTTAAAAAACTTGTGACAGACAAACTTGACAAAAAACTTATCCGCCAAACATTATCCAAAATCAGAATTTATAATCAGTTAAAATAATCAAGCGACAGCAAGCCCTGAAGCACCAACACTACTAACTTCAATAGATAATCAAAACCTTTGGTCTGTTTGTTGCACTTCACAGCAATCTCATTTCATCGTTTCTTGTTTTAATAACCTGCCGCATCTAATCTAATTAACTGCTTTTTTTTTCAATCGAAGTCTGATTTTGGTTCTCATTAGGCATTAAAGTCGTCAGAAATGAATCCACAGTCAAATACTTTGAATTTCTTTTATTGGGGAAGAAATATAGTGGTCCCTTGCCAACGTGCTTGATTAGCTCATGCATTTGGAGTCCGGATCAACAGCTTTCTGTTTCTATTGTAACGGTTGAGCCCCCTAAGGCAAAAAATAACCGAAAAACAGTTCTAGTTAGAGTGGTTAACTCATAAGATCTTCACGGCAGGGATTAGAAGAACACAGAAGATAAAATTTTACTTTAACATTTTGCAATAAATAAGAAAGTCGCCTGGAAAAGGCCGACGCACTCAAAATTCATACCTATTAAACTCCTAAAAATATGATTTGTCGATTAAACACTTGATAAGGATGAGCCCACTGACCCAGCTTGATGCGGCTGCCGCCATTATCGACGCCCCTTTCCATCGAGTTAATTTCAATCTTAAACAAGGTATATATATATATATACACACACACACACACACACACAAAGGTGGTGGTAAACAATCAGTGTGCTAAAAATTAAAGAATGTCCCAAAATCTAGCTCAATTGGTAAAATAACATTATTAACGTTGTATTTTCTGTGATTACACATTTTTCAATGACACATGTATCAAATCGTTACAGTAATTTTTCTACAAAAAAAAAAAAAGTCAGAAAAATGCACTCCAAACAAAGGATTGAATAATCTCACTGCTAAGCTGAATTGTGATGAGTTAAGTGGCACAATTACTAACCGAGTTGATTTGATATTTATCCATAACAAACGGTTAACCGAGTGAGCTCAATGGTGCCATATGATATGTTTCAACTCACGTACTTAATGCGAGAGAGGGACCAATGTGAATGAATGGGCGATGTAGAGAGGTGCAAAACTGTATGAATCTCAAAGTCGTGCGGAAGCAAGCAAGGCACATGATCGGACGAAAATGAACCCCACTGCTGATGCTACACCGCATTTTGTATGGAGAGCTTTTGAGGGATGTAGACTCGGGCGTGGTGTCCCCCATCTTCACCTTGAATTGAACTGCCCCAGCGAAGTACCATGCGAGTACGTGACAGCCACACGCAACTTTTATTTTAAACTATCTGGGATATTTTTTCAGGACAATGCGAAGCAATAGCATAGGATGGATGCCTCCGCCCGACTTCCATTCTGACTCCAAGGGTCAAGGAGATTAGCTAACTAATACGCAAGTATTTGTGTTTGTCATCCTGATTTTTAAGAAAAGTGTTTAAGAGCTGAATGTACTACTTCCATTCATTCTGATTTGTGCGTGTTATGCTTTTTCTTTTCTTTTCAAATTTTAAGTCTGACGGTAAAAAGAACTCTACCCTTGATTGCAGGGAGCCGTAATGTCAGGATGCGGGTCCCACCGGCATGAGCCCTCCGATCTATCCTTTACTCCTACTCTATAAATACCTCTCATGCACACCTCAAGTAAGGATATACTGTTCATTGACTCGTACTCTTATTATTCTCGTTCTCATACTAACTTGATCGTCGGAGTGATCCCAGGGGAGAAGCCCCGCCATTCACTTCGGACAAGGAGGTTGACTTCGGACATAAGAATTCACCTCACCTCATCTCAGAGAGGACTGATTCAGGTCGGTTCAGCCACCAACCAAAAATCACCTCTTCTTCCATCATTCATTCTGATTTGTGCGTGTTATGCTTTTTCTTTTCTTTTCAAATTTTAAGTCTGACGGTAAAAAGAACTCTACCCTTGACTGCTAGATCAACCCAGTGATTAATCATTAGTAAGTATGTTCACTTGCTAAAAAAACATGGATACAGTGAATATAGTTCTTTTTCGATAGATCATCTCTCCGTTTCCTTGAAAATACACATTTACATGCGTGGCATGTGTCGTTATTTACTGGAAAGAGACGTGATCATTTTAAATCTGATTAATCCTGTTTATTGTTAATAAATGATGACACACGTCAGTCACGTGTTCATATGTGTATTGCTTGCGAGAAATTGAAAACAAAATTTGCTGAGAGAAGCAAGTCCGTTCATTTGTTAGCACAACAGAATCTTTGACTGGCTCAACTAGATCTTGAGTGGATCGGTGCTGTTCAAAGATCGGGACATCGTATCATCGCTTGATACACGAAATAGCAGACGACGTATGTATGTTGTACCTAAGTACCGTAAATAGACTGCCGTGTGTGGACGAATTCCTCTAGTGATCCTGTTAAAGCAGAGCTAAAGACCTCCCTGCATAATTTGATTTAAAGTACAACCTCCTGGTAGCGTACTAACATCACTTCTCCTATGGTAAAACTAACACAACCATGCAAATAAGCAAGTATGCTTTTATACCCAGAAAAGAAATAAAGTTAGGGAAAGGAAAAAAACGAAAAGATTAGTCATACGTCATTAGGATCAACCGATCAAGAGACGTCCCTTATCATGTTCGACCATTCTCATCTTAGAACCACGAATAACTAACAAATTACACAAATGGCTAAGCAACCAGTCGTTGTAGTATAGTGGTGAGTATACCCGCCTGTCACGCGGGTGACCCGGGTTCGATCCCCGGCAACGGCGCTTTTTGGCTTTCAGTTTTTGCCCTTTCTGAACTGCGAGACCAAGTTCTTTCCCTCTCTTTTCAGTTTTGTTAGCTTTCTCAATCGACAGACGGACCAAATTCTTTCCCTCCCTCCCTCCCTTGCCGCTGAAGAGACGTAACTAGAGATTCTACCTTTGACGCCACTCCTCGACCTGGACTGGGACCAACAAAATACAAATGAAGAGGCAAGAAAAAGCACCCCGCAAATATATAGATGAATTAAACAACAGAAATGTTCTCGGAAGTGTTGATCAAAGAAACTGCTAGTTCTCAAACTCTCTTATCAGCCGTTCAATGAGTAGCCACACTCCTAGCATTGACCGGGAGAAAACTGCTAGCACCTCCACTACCAGCATACACGTTCTTGCCTTAGATGGCATACTGAACGTGAATTCATTGTTCACCGTAGGAGTCTTCCTAGGCCTTGCTTGGAACCTCGGGGACCCCAGTAACACCCTTGTTGCGTCCCCAGTTTGTACCGCAAGCTCTGGCATGGTGGAAGACTTCGTAAAATTTCACGTCTACTCTTTCAGCTCCTTCCTTTTTTCTAGCCTTATTGCCTTAGCCCTCAAACAGGCCATCAGAAGTTCCAAGGACGGATATTATGGCGCTGAAATGCATTCCGTTGCTCGTGTCAATTTGAAGGTTCTGCAATCTGGGATTTTGGCTTCGGCATTAGGTTCTGTCGCTGGTTGTGTTTTCTTGACATTGGCACTCGTGGATTTTGTTCAAATTAAGCTCGGAACATTGGCCTGCCGGAGCTGGTATACCGCTGGGGCTGTTTTTCCGCTGGTGATATTGGTGCCATCTGCGCTTGTTATTTACATATACGTGGTGTTGCATGCCTTTACTCGGTAGAATTATGCAGCAGCAAGATCATCATTATACTCAGTCAATTTCCTTCGCCTGGCTAAGCAACAATCACTGACTTAAGAGTCTGTGTTGTGAAATAGTCTAGAGGAGTTAGTTAAACCAATGAATAATCGTAGTACTATCATCAAATATCTGTGCGGCACAGTACAGTGACTCTCGGTTGTTTAGGATTTCACACTGTTTTGAACTTTTGATTGTTACTGTGTCTTATAATCTGGATAGAGGGAAGAAAAAGGTCAAGAAAAGAGACATAAAGGCAATGAGCGCTTTAATTCTTCTCGTTCTTCATGAAACGAAATACTTACTATTATACTAGGGAAAATGAGGATGGTAGTAATGTACTACTATAACATTTATCGAGGATGAGAATTAGAGAGACTGTTCATAAATTATAATCCCTAATTGGGTAGTATCCTTTTTAACAACTACATAAATTAATGACTTAGGTACGCTGTATGTGGGCATGCGGTGGATTGATTCAAAGCTAAGCGTGGGCACGAGCTGCTGACTTCACTTTGTAAACATTTTATAGTGTGTTATCTAAGAGCGCAACTTGCTTTCTCAAGGCTTGGAACCACTGTTTGGTTGGGAAACAGTCAGCAAAGTAGCAGGTGGAACAGATTATAGTAATCCTTCAAGTCAACGAAGCTGGATCCAAGACGTTTATAAATTTGATACCAAATTAACCAAGTTGAAAATAATGTGCAAACCAAGCTTCTTCGGATCCAAAACAGAGACCAAATTTTACATGCATCTTTCTTGCAAGTGACAGTACCCTTTCCCTTTCCTCCTGTGAGAGGAACAGATTCTGATTGTTGGAAGTGTCATGGCAAATGATCAGAGAAATTTGTTCAATTTCCGGTACTGCTGCTGCGTTCTCGTTTTCCTGTCTACTTTCTCATCTATTTCATTCTTGTACTGGTCTCACTGCTCTAAATGCTGCTATTCAGAAATCCAAACGGCAGTGCAGGAACAAAACCGAACGATTAACTTGCTTACATATCCATCAGCATGGAACAATCTTAACTTCCCATCAAAACCACCCGCGAGACTTCTGAAAGTAGCCCTCTTTGTCAAGAAATGGCCTGATAAACATCATGCCGGAGGGCTCGAACGCCATGCCACGACTCTCCATCTTACTCTTGTGGAAAGGGGGCATGAGCTCCATATCTTCACTACTGCATCGTCGAACTCCTCCTTCACGGAATATCCAATCAGCAACTTAAAATTTCACCTCTCGAAACCGACAGCTGCTGGTTATCTGGACCAAGCTGGTGTGTGGAAGCAATTTCAAACTGAAAACTCGACAGGAAGAGCCTTTGATGTGATCCACACCGAAAGTGTCGGGCTTATGCACACAAGAGCAAGGAATCTGACTAATTTAGCTGTTAGTTGGCATGGCATTGCATATGAATCCATTCATTCTGACATCATTCAGGAGCTTCTGCGATCTCCCGATAAGCCCCAGTCAAATCTACTGACCCAAAGGGTGAAGAAGGTTGTGGAAGAGGTGAGGTTTTTCCCTCGTTATGCTCACCATGTTGCCACTAGTGATCATGTCGGAGATGTCCTCAGACGGATCTACATGATACCAGAGGATCGTGTTCACATTATTCTTAACGGTGTTTATGAGGGAGTATTCAAGCCAGATGCACTAAAGGCCAAAGTCTTCAAGTCAAAGTTTGGCATTCCAGAATCCAAAGCATTGGTCCTAGGGATGGCAGGAAGGTTAGTAAAGGACAAGGGACACCCATTGATGTTTCAAGCTTTGAAGCAAATTTTGAAGGAAAATTCTACAATTCGGGATAATGTCATGGTTCTTGTCGCTGGAGATGGACCATGGGGTGAAAGATATAGAGAGCTAGGATCCAATTTACTGGTTTTGGGGCCACTGGAACAGGCCGAGTTGGCAGGGTTCTACAATGCAATAGATATACTGGTAAACCCAACTCTTCGAGCTCAAGGGTTAGATCACACCTTGTTGGAGGCTGTCCTGACTGGTAAGCCTCTCATGGCCACAAAACTAGCTAGCATTACAGAATCTGTGATTGTCAGCAAAGAGATAGGGTATACATTTTCACCAAATGTGCCTTCACTAAAGAAAGCTCTGTATGAGGTTTGGGAAGATGGAAGAGTAATTCTGGAAAAGAAAGGTCAGTTGGCAAGAGAAAGGGGTTTGAAATTATATACTGCCACAAAGATGGCAGCGGCTTATGAAAGACTATTTCTCTGTATTGCGCATGATAGAGAGTACAGAAGGGATTACTGTAAATACCAACAGCAAGTTGGTTAGACTAGAGGCTCCCACTTGGTTTTAGATATAAATTCTGCCTCAAATTACCAAATAAATGGCAGATTTGCAGGACCTCCAGCAAGTAGCATTTGCTGCAATTCCCATGTATCTCTACCCTGCAAACTAAGCTTCCTGTACAAAACTTACAATCTATAAAAGAGAATCCCAACCCAAGGCTATTTTAGTTTTTCAAACCAGAAACCTGCTATACACAAGATACGAGCAATGTATGTTACGGTACTTGTTGCAGCAAGAAAACTTCTAGACTGTTACCAATTCAATTTAGAGAGTTCTTTTATAACCAAGTATCCTACCATTACCACAGCATAATTTGCTATGCTTCTTCAAGCAGAGTATGTTGGGTGATATCTGTACATGTTTTGTGTCTTTTCTAGGAGAGAACATAAACAAGGAGAGGAAACAGGAATCATGTTAATGGCAATCACAAGGTATGATCAGGCTGCATGTCATGCTTACAGACCAATATGATGGGAAGCTGAAAGAACTGCTTGTACAACCTAAACTTGTGAAGCTTACTGTTATTTTGCTGCCATGGTATAATTTTACTCTTCAAATGAGAATGGGTCTTCCTGAGCTTTTTTCGTTGATAAATAAACATTTAAATTGCTGCTACAGCAGCACGTAAAATTCGACTTACTGCATCCGTTAAGAAGGTCATTAGTGAATCCACAACATCCGAAGTGCTTATGCAAATAAACAGAGGAACAGCTGATGAACACTTTAAAACAACTCAAAAGCCTAATTTTCTAATTTATCCCCATCTAGCAATTAAACTCATCATAGGTGCTAGATGCTGAAAATTCAGACATAAGTTTGAAAATATTCTTCCTTTCAATATGCTCAGAGAGAAAAAAGAAAAAATAAATTATGAGTATCCATAACTCAAATAGTCAATTATGCTGGAAAATATACTGGTTTTTGTATCCCACCAATGAGATCCACAGCCGAAGACCTCAAACTATTTCCATTATCTTCAAAGAAAACAACTCTTAACCTGCTCATATTTCTCAACAGAATTACAAAGAGAGTAAGAAAAGGAAAATCACGTAAAGGCCCATCACATACTACAAGCTTCATCATTGGTAGAAATGGTAAAGAAACCACGAAAAGGTCTATCATTATGCATTACTCACTCAAAAATCAACAGTTAAGTCTGGTAATTACTAGTTTAGACTAGGGAGACAATAACAGATTACAAAGTTTGAAAAACCTTCTCCATTGCAAACTCCTAAAACTTTCAAGCACGAAATTATATTAGGGAAAGTTTTTGTACCAAATGATAGGAAGAACTCATGAAAAAATATCCAAGTTCTGTCCACAATATCCTGCCTAAAAAGTGGCCTTTACCTACCACAGGACAATCTATATAAACTACACAGCCAAGGCCTCTGAAATCCCTGCAAGTACAATAAGTTAATCAAATCAGAGAAATGCCTCTTATAGTAGAAACAATAGAAATACAGTAAATATATACAATTACATGAGAAATCATGTATAAATGACATAATGATAGACTTCAATTTACAGTAGTAGCCTACATTTACACTTATATCAAGAAGCTCAAAAATCACATAGATGACTGAGCAGACCAAAGGTCTCCAACTCTTGGGCTAATTCCTTAGAATATTTGTATTTAAAAAAAACAACCGTCAAATACACCTCTGACATGGGTGTTTCTCATTCTATAGCGGCCGTGCTGACTCAGCACGGCTGCATAATTAAATATTCTACCGAACTCTTGTTTGCAAAAATTCAGTGGTGCAAGGTGTCAGCGCAGACGTGCTGACTGGGCACGTCCCCGGGAGACACAAAATCAGTGCTGGTGTGTTGTGTCAAATGCGGACGTGCCCAGTCAGCACGTCCGCATCTGACACATGCTAAAAAAAATAGTTTTAAGACGAATGCTTACTGCTTCAGAGTGGAATGCCGTGATGAGGCTTCTATATACTTTTCGGGAAAGTATGTACTAAATCTGTCATTAGCACCGAATGATTCAGACGAATGATTCTTTAATTTTTGACACGTAAATATGTCGTATTACAATAGAGTGAAGCTTAACTCTTAAAATTAATGATACATATAATAATTATGGAAAATATTGAATGAATTATTTAATAGTAATGTAAGTATTAGATTTTCATCATAAAATAAAATCCGTTATGACTGCAAACAAAATAGTAATGGGAATGACAAAAATTCATGCCCATGGTAAGTTTTAGAGTGTATTTGGACCATTTGAGAAAAAAAATAATTTATCTGTATTATAATGCATTTTTAACGATAACTTTGTGTTACTTTTGTAGAAACCTTTTTTTAATTTAAAAAAAAACTCTAACATTGTTTAATAAATCCTAAAGTAATACACAATTTCAAAAAAAAAAAATAATAATAATAATAAAGTTTAGTACTTTACTGAAGAACTACTAAACAATTGATCATGTGGTTGTTAAGATTCTCTTCTATCACTAGTTGCATTATAATCCAAGACTAATTTAAGAGTAGGAAAAATTAAGTGATAAAATAAAGAAATTTACTACCATTAAATACATAGATGGGCACTTTTTTGTCTCCAAAAATATTTTGCAGCTTTTTTGTTGTCATTTTATTAAGAACAAAAAAAGAAAGAAAGGAAGGATGAAGTGTCTGGAGCATTCTTCGAAATGCTTACATCATTTGCATTGATATTGATCGCAGTTTCATAGCATTTGCATCCGTCTGACACATGCGCAGAGGTGAGTCACTTTGGTCAGCCGCGGACGTGCACAGTCAGCATGTCTGCGGCTGACACATGCTCAGACAGCTTTTTCAGCTGCGGACGTGCCCAGTCAGCACGTCCGCATTGACATCCTCTGCACCACCGAATTTTTTGCAGACAAGATTCCGGTGGAATATTTAATTATGCCATAGAATGAGAAACACCCCATGTCAGAGGTGCATTTGGCGGTTGTTTTTTTTAAATACAAATATTCTAAGAAATTAGCCCAACTCTTGAGGAGCATAACCTTCAATTTCAATGAATTTTAAAAGCTCAAATATTGTATTATATATTGGCAACGAAAGTGGCGTTGGAGAAAAAAAATTATTTGTTATTTTTCAAAAATCAAACTACGATCAATGGGGTGGTGCTTACCTCTAATAAATAACTGAAGAATTCATAAGCCTGGGGGCTTGAAAGGCAGTCCTAATAATAAAGTGACCCTGCATAAACATTGTTCGAATGGTACTTAGACCTGTCTGAACCTCTACCCAGAGAAACTCATACAACATGCATAATCGTACCTTGCCACCAATTCCCTCTAGAAGCAGAATGAGAGTCGTTCCCGTTTTGGTCATCCTCTTCCCAATGTTTCTTAAACTGATTTATCTATAATTTCATCAAAAGCTAGTTCAATTACATCCAAGCCATGTAATCATAAACATGATGATGGTTGCAGTGAAAAAACTTACGCCATGGTATGAGCCCAGTGACTGAGCATTTGAAGACTGCACATACATATCTTCTTGACCACCATAGTACAAAGATGAACTTAAAGGGCATGGTTCTGCTCTTTCTTGAAATATTGAGCTCCTTTTCTTGTTGGACATGCAATGGCTTTCATCCTTATTGTTCTTAGCCAGATTCTCTGCATAAACATAGGGATTTGAGGCATGAACAGCCTCATAAAGATCAGGTTTTTGTCCTCAATTAAGAAAATTAGATGTCCAAACATCGAGATTTCTCATTCACACACAGCAGTTCTGGGGGCAGAGGAAACCTATACTTGAAATTGATGGAGTCTAATGATTAATCCCACAAGATGATTTCAGTAATTAGATATGAGTTTTGATTCACATCTCCACAGTAGCACTTAAATGCAAGGAATGTTTTATCCAAAACAAAAGTACGCAAAAAATCTAATATCTCTCTGCACAATAAAGAAAATATCCTTGTCGGGCAACTGAAACAAAAATTACAAGAGATATCAAAATTCTGAATTTGCAATCAACAATGTCTCCTTTAAAAAGAAAGTTGAGAGCAGAAGAAAAAAGTTTGAACCTAGTCCTCCAAGTAGTTTTAAGCAGCACTATCATAATTTTGGAGCAGCTCAAAATGAAATCATATTCTCATCCAAATTCAAGATGCTGCTAAATAGATTAGGTTTAAAGTAAGTAAAAAACTTCCATTAACCTGAATGAATGCAAAGGACGCAAGGTCATTTATAGTGTTTAATAAACCTCTAACACAAATTGTGATGTTAGAAGTCGTGTTAGGAACAGCAAGGATTTGCGTATCTTGTTTTGGGCACAGAAGAACAATAAGTCAAGCAAAAGGTTCCTTGTTGCACAATCAAAAGCCAGGAACTAGGAAAAGGAAGAAAAGTTATAACAGAATTTTAGCACAAACCAACCTGGAGTTCCTTTATCCCAGACCTGGCTTCTAGCAGAATGCCCCTGGATACATTCAATGAGTTCAGAAGTTGAGCCACTCCTTCCCATGACCTGAAACCAAAAACTCTATAAGAATTACAACACATGCACAATAAAATATCACTAAATTTTGTTTAAAGACGATGAAATATCTAGTATATGTTAAATCCCGCAAAAGATGCAGTCTTTATCATCAACAGTGTATGACCAACTAAGCAGGTATTCTTTGACGTGATACTCATAAACAGAGTATCCAATGTCAGACCAAATAGTCGAGAAAGCATCATTCATGGACATGGGTTGTCTATACGCGACGCTAATTTGTCAAAAATCAGCCCCCACCCAAAAAAAGGGGGAAAATTCAAGCTTTCCAGCATTATCGTCGTCAAAATAACTAGCCATAGTCCTATTCATCAAAATTATGCAATCAAAGAGTTGAATGACATGTCCCAAATCTTTAAAGCCATTGGCTTCAAACCCTCTAATTTGACAAATTTAGCTTGACTAAATCAAAGTAGCATGCAGCAAATAAATAAATAAATCAATTGTAGCTTGAAACCAATACGAAAAGAAGTGCTTCACGGTCTCAATAAATCTCCAAAACATCAAAGCAATAGACTGATGGAACACAGCAAGATTAATGATTACATTACGAAAAAGGACATTAATTCAACAAAAGCAACAAAACCCAACCAAAGGAAAAAAAAAAACTGCACAAAGCTAGAATTTACCGAAGATGGCGGTGGGAAAATTGAAGAGAAAATCCCAGTTGGTGCTGGCTCCTTGGAGCCAAAAAGATCATGATTGAATGATGATATTGATGATGAAGATGGAGAAGCAGAACCCACTTGCTTTCCCGCAGTACTGTTATTTTCCATATTTGTTAACGTCTGAAAATCTTTCACCAACTCGAGAAGTCAAGTACAACACACGGTACAACAAAAGAAAACACCTGAATTCCCCCTGCACGGCGGCGCGCAAAGATAAGATTTTAAAGGAGTAAAAGAGAAAAGAAAGCCAATATTAATAGTTACAAAGACGGAAAAAACTGGCCACGTGATGATCACCTGATTGCAGGTAGACTCGAAACCGACTTCACAAACACAACCAATCCTAAATTTGTCCCTATTCTTTCTTCATCTAATCCA